AGTGGATGGAGGTAGTGTGGATTGACGGACCACTCGTAAGTGTTTTGGAATACTCTGCTCAGCCGATCGGCTCGAGTATTCAACTGGCCTGCTATATGCATAGCAGTAACGTGTGCATTTATTTGTATGACCTGGTGCCATAATTTCAGGGTTTCCCTGGTGAGGGCCACAGATGTGGTACCCCCCTGTTTGTTTATATAGAATTGAACAGTGGTGTTGTCTGTGTGGAACATCACCAACTGTCCTTCCAGGTGCGCTGCAAAAGAGGAAAAGGCACGTCTTACTGCTCGCATCTCAAGGATGTTGATATGCAGTCTGGATTCCTCTCGGGTCCATTGACCCTGCGCTACCAACGTCCCACAGTGTGCGCCCCAGCCTAGCAGGGAGGCATCTGTAAAGGGATGAACATCATGTATCTGCAACCCAAAAGGGACACCTGCTCTCAGTTGTGACGGTGCAAGCCAGCAAAATCAGGATCTGAGAACCACCCTAGGAATGGTTAAGCTCAGCCTAGGTGAGTCTATATGCGAATGAAAATTGCGCAAGAACCAATTCTGGAATATTCTCATATGTAGCCTGGCAAATGGGACCACTGCTGTAGTTGCAGATAAATGACCCAGCAGGCATTGGAAAAAAGACTCATGTCGCCGCCTAAGGCGGCGGAGGGCACGTATGAGCACGACAGTACGGTCAGCCCAAGGTTTAGGGAGATAGGCTCTCGCCGAGACAGAATCTAGGACTGCTCCCATAAATTCAATCCTTTGCGTAGGAGAAAGATGGGATCTGCGGACATTGACCAACAACCCCAAGGTCCGTAAGGTGCGTAACACCAAGTGAACATGGGAATGGAGCATGTCAGGTGTATCTGCGACTAGTAACCAATCATCCAAATAGGGATAAAGGGTACATCCTTTAAACTGGAGGTGTGCCACCAGTACAGATAAACATTTGGTGAATACCCTCAGGGCGGATGCCAAACCGAATGGTAGCACCCTATATTGGTCGCAGTAATAAAATGACTTCCTGTATGGATAGCATACGAAACTTAGATTTCTGAAGGAACTTATTAAGGTTCCATAAATCTAAAATAGGTCTCTGCCCTCCTCCTTTTTTGTCTATGAGAAAAAAGGGCGAGCAGAACCCAGGGCCATCATCAGGCGATACCTCTTGAATGGCCCCCTTGTTCAACAGAGAGGAAACCAGTTCTGATAACGTCTGTACTACGTTGTTTCGACACAGACACACAGTGGACACTGGTGGGTAACGTAAGAACTCCAACAGATAACTGTTCTTTATTATAGATAACACCCACTTATCAGAAGTAATTGCCAACCACCTGTCATAAACAGGGATAAACGAACCCCAAATGGTGGGGTTGGGTCTAGTCACGAGAGATCCGTCCCCCTAGAGGGTTGGTCTTGTTGAGACCTATTTCCTGACGGGAGTCTTGATCTCTGACGCCCATTTTGATAGGGCGCCTGATACGTCTGTCTAGGAGGCTGGTACGGTTGCCTCTGGACTGACTCATGGTAACGGTATGGGCGGGAATATTGTGCATGCTGTGAAGGTCTAGGCCAATACCTGGACTTTTGCGGAGCATGGGTGGAAGCCATGATGCCAAACAATTTGGCCTGTAACTTGTACTTCCTAATGTGTTCTAAGACCTCGTCAGTCTCCTGACTAAACAACTCTTTCCCCTCAAAGGGGAGATCTTCGAGTTTAGCTCGCGTATCAAGGGGGAGCGCTGAAGATCTAAGCCATGCATGCCTACGTAATACTATGGCTGACCCCATAGATCTACTGTGGCAGTCAGCATTATGCTGTGCAGCATTAACTTGCAACTTTCCTAGACGCTTCCCCTCCTCGGCTATGACCTTCGCCAGACGTCTCTGGTCCTGGGGAAGTTGATCTAGGTAAGGCGATAACTTATCCCATAAAAGGCGGTTATAGAGCCCCATAACTGCTTGAAAGTTAGCTATGCGTAGCCCCATGGCTCCAGAGGAATAGGCCTTTCTGCCTATTGTGTCTAGCTTGCGGCCTTCCCTATCATTGGGAGCCATATGGGTTCCAAACCGCGTACGAGCCGGTATGACTTCAGCAATAAAAGAGCTAGGCGGCGGATGCCGAATCAGAAATTGCACATCATAGTCAATGACTTGATCGTCTGCGTGTGAACGGTCTCGTCGAGGCTAGATGCTTCCATGCTAACATCATCACCTCCTGCAACCCCTGGAGACACGGGAGAGCCACTGGTATCTGGGGTGAAAAGGGCTTGCATAAGCGGATCTTGGGTCCGCTGCTGAGAAGCCACATGTTTTAAGTTCAAGGCTTTCGCCATGCGCACAATCTGGTCTGCGAAAGACAATAAATTTTTGGAAGGGGATACCAATTCCGGATCAGCAATAACTTCCTCAGGTGAAGGAAGCGACCTCAAGTCATACTCGGCATCGGATTGAGAGTCTATGCCCAAGGCGTCATTCTCGGCGTTATAGGAGGCGTAATCGATTTGTTCCCCATGGCTGGGTATGGGTGACAGTGCCTCTGGCCTGCAGAAGATCTCTGGGCACAGTGACAGGGACACCAAGGCGGGGGCATCTCCAACTCCAGAGACGGGGCCGGACTCATAGAACCCATCAACAACAGGTCCGGAGAAGGCGATCTGCAGATCTCCAGCATCGGAGAAATTTCGGTACCGACGACCGGCGCCGAGGCCGCTTGATCGGTGGTGATCGGTCGTCTTGGCGCCGAGGCGAACGGCCTCTCGACGTCGAACGTGGTACCGAGGCGAACGTCGATTCATGGTACCGAGGCGAAGGAGATCTACGGCGTCGAGTCGGTGGCGAAGCGACAGACGCGACCCCTTCAGTGCCAGCTCTTGTCGGAGGCGAAGACCTCTCATGCTGGTTTTTCTTTTCCTTGGCCTTTTTGGTCGGCGGCTCTGGGCCAGCTCGAGACTGGGCAGCCGCTGGGGAGATTTGTGTTGCCACTGGCGCCGAGCACACTGATGGCGTCTTAATCTTCTCCCGTTCTCCAGTGGATGACGCGGAAAGGGCCCTCTCCCACAGTGCTGCCTTCAGGCGGGCTTTTCTCCCCTCACGAGCCCTTGAAGTAAGGGCCTTACAGGCGTTACAGGCAGCCATATTATGGGTCTCCCCCAGACAGAGCACACAAGCAGAGTGCTCATCTGTTTGAGCCATTTTGGCCCCACAGGTCTTACATTTCTTGAAGAGGGCCACTTTCTGTTTCTCTTGTCTTCTCTTTCGACGACATCTCTGAAGAGAAAAATTCTTCCCCTCAGCGACACTCAGCTCGCTGTACACTAGTCCTCTTTCGATGGCGGCGGAAAGAGAACTGATGGGAGAGGGCAGGCTCCGCCCAGATCAGGTGGTAATTTGGGCGGGAAACCACCTCCTGTACGGAGCCTAGCCCTCTTGGGTTGAAAATTCGACAAATATGCTCGCTAGCTCCTCCTGGTGGTTGGCCCGAGGACTGCAGTCCCATGTGGGACTGCACAAAAGCCTTGCAAATGAACAGGCTGCACTTAATCCTCGGAGAAATTCCATCACCTGGAGCCCGAGGGCTTGTGCTGCTTGCTTCCCCCGCTCTGGCTGCACATGGTCAGAATGCACGCAGCCCAAGGGAGTCCTTCACAGCAGAAGAGCTCAGAGATGAAAGCAAAGCGGAAGAAGAGCCTGGGAAGGGTGAGCTTCCCCCCCCCCCGCTATTTTGGGGGCAGAGAATGGATAGCTTGAGCACCCTCTCCCCTCCTTAACGGAGCACGAGCCCTGCTCCTTCCTGTTTGGCAGGGGAAGCTGACCCCTGGTCAACCCTTTGGTCGTCGTCATCCACCCTCCACGGGACCGCTCCCTCCTGTGATCTCGCGCCAGCAGAGTCCATTTACGCCTCCACGGGACTGACTTGCCCTCATCATCCGAAAATCAATTTACAGCCTGCTAGTTGGTTCCTAGCGCCTTTCTAGCCCTGAGAGATGGATACTACTTTCCTACAACAACCCTGCAAGATGGACCAAGTACACTGAGCTTTGAGAGAAACTGGTGGGGTGAAGGGGGCCATGCTTCACAGTGTAACTGAGAAGGGTGTGGCTCCCAAAGCCATGGCCTCGGCCTCAACGGAGAACACTTAGCATTGCTGTTACCGTTCTCCTGGCATTCACTGGAAACTCACACGTTCTGGAAGGACGTGGAAAGGGGGCTTGATGTGCTTATCCATGTTTTAAATTGGACTGAATCTAGTTTGTAATGACTGCCTTTGACAGATTTCAATCAACAGTCTTGTTTTTTAGTTGTAGGCGTGGTTAGTCTATGAGTAGGAGCCAGGAGGCAGACATTCAGACCTCCGCTCTGCCACCGACGCTTCCGGAGTGACCTTCGCCAGTCGCTCACGCTCAGCCTCACCTTCCCCTCAGGGGCTAAAAGTGAACAAATGGAGTCAGAAGTGATGCTGCTGGCAGGGAACGTGGAGGCCGCCTGTGACCAGAGGCTTTGCATTTCTGACCCTTGCCGGCTTGGCTAGGGATGTCAGGATGACACTGGAGAAGTCGGGGTGATGCCGGAGAAGCAAGGTCTCGCAGCCACAAAATATGTATTTTCCCAACTTACTTCAGCTGGGAAGACGGCCCCTACCCTTGACTTGGCCACCTGGATCCATGCCACAGTCACATCATCAAGACGACTGCAATGCAATCCACGTAGGTTTCCCCTTAAAATCAACCTGGAGACTTCAGTTGGTGCAGAATGCCACGGCTCCGCTATCCTCAGGAGCAAGGCGGGGTATGCAGATTACACCCATCCTGCAGTCACTCCACTGGCTACCCATCAGCTGCTGGGCGCGATTCAAGGTGTATCGGCCATTCCATACAAAGTCCTTCGTGGGTGTGGACCCTCACAAAAAAGGAGGAGTAATGGCTCAGGAACTCTTTCTTCTCTAGCTTTAGCCTCCCCGCTCCCCAACCACAGTCCACCTCCATCCTTCACCAATACCTGCTGCAGGCTGAGAAGAAGCGTATGGGCCCATTCAGTCCGGTCAATCTGACGGGCCCTGTTCAGCGTCTCCTTGATGATGTCCCCGTAATCACTGTAGAACTGATAGGAGGAAGAGAAAAGAGAGAGACGCCCAGGAGTTGCCCACCATCAGCACTGCCAAGTGCAAACACCACAGCCCCCCCCCCCCGGTGTGATAAGAGGAAAGCGAGGAGGCCGCTCTGTACGGGAGCTCCTCAGGGCGGTGGCCAGGCAGAGAGAGCCACGACACGGCTCTTTCCACTACCACATGGTGATCCACTAAGGCAGCTTCCGGGGGAGGAAGCCCCGCAGCCACTGGCATGACGGAGAAGCGCAAGAAGTGAGGCAGCCTCGGCCTGCAGTGCTCCCCCCCACCCCCACACACCTCAGGGCAGAAGGCCGAAACGGGGCCAGGCAGCCTGACCAGGAGCAAGAGGTAGGTCTGCAGTCGGCGGCTGCCAAGCGCTTCTTCTTCCCCGCCAGTCACTGGGGGACTGCTGCTGCCGCTGCGACACCCAACGCTTCCTGCCCCTCACAGACCTTGGCGTAGTGCTTGAAGACATCCGATGCTGCGCTCAACTCCACGACGCCATAGACAATGAGTTTGCAGAACCCAGCCAGAATACTGCGGCGCTGGTGCAGCTGCTCAATCTGGAGCTCCTCGTCCTTGAGGTCTGAGGCAAAGGGCCAGACAAGGGCGTGAGAGCGAGGCCTGCCCTCCCAGCAGCACCACCACCACCACCCCTCCGCGGGTCTCGGGGAGCCAGACAGTCTGAGCCCCCCCCACAGGCCCGTACGCACCCATTTCGGAAGCCTCAGCGTGGCTGAAGACGTGGTCCACCAGGAAGCCAGACAGCTGGGACTGCAGCGTAGACTCGGCCTGATACACCAGCGCCTCCAGCGCCTTCCGCCCCCCTCGCGCCAGCTGCGGCCCAAAGATCAGGAGCAGGTCGCTCAGCAGCACAAAGGCCTGGAGGGGGAAACGGAGGGAACCGTCATCTACACCCGGGACTACAGTGCTGAGAGCCAGGGTGGTTTACGGTAGTCAGAGTACGGGGGGTCTAGGACTGAGGGGACCCGAGTCCAAACCAAGGCCCAGCTACGATGCTCACTTGTGGTGTTACTTTGGGCCACAAACCCTCTTCCAGCATAACCTTACTCACACAGGGTTAACACTGTGAAGAATAACACAAGAGAGGCAAAATGGGTTTGTGGCTCAGGTAAAACTGCAGAGTCAGAGGAACCAGCCCAGCTTGAAAAAGAAGAAAGCAAATGAACACAAACGTAAAAAGCCGCCCAAGGCCCTGCCCACTGCGGATTCCCAGTCTCATCGCCGAAGGTGTGTGTGTCGTCC